GCCATGCAGGAAGACACCATCAAAGCATCCCCTCCAAGGCAGCAACGCCTTTCACTGTTGAACAGCTCTTACCATTAGGAAGTTCTTCAAGTTCTAGATGGCCTTAGAGACTCTTCCCACTCTGTTGTTTTCATTGCACCAAAGTGGACATCCCAAATGTGAATCACAAGCTGATATTAAAACTATTAGGACATCTGAAATAGCTTGCTTGGTTTACTCTGTTGTTGTTTGTGAACCTTCAAGTTGTTCCCAACTTACGGTGACCCTCAGGTGACTCCATCACGGAGGTTTCTTGGCAAGAATCGTTCGGAAGGGGTTTGCCACCCTTGCCTTCCTCTGTGGCTGAGACGGCGGGACTTGCCCAGTGGGTCTCCATGACTGAGCAGGGATTTGAACCCAGGTCTCCAAAGTCCTAGTCCAGCGACACCACCCTGGTTCTCTTATGTAACTGAAATTTGATGTAACCCTTTCTAATAGTAGCCCAGTAGTGATGGGTGGTTTCTGTGCTACTGAGACACTGAATCTGTACTGGGATTTGGCCTGAACTTCAAGACAGTGGTCCAAGAGTGGATGAACTTGTTTGGGGTATAGGGTTCAATGCCTTTAATAGATCCAAGTTTCCACCTTGAACCCAGAACTGATTCACTGCCCCCCTGACTTGAAAACCACCACCACTATAGTAATCCAGTGAGCTGAGTAACATCTGAGTAACAGATTTCATTCAGACTTGAGAACTTCAAACTGGTGGAAGTCTCCATTCTGAAGTCTTTTGACAGATGTAAAACACATACCATTAAATTATTCCAAAGCTTAATTCCAATTAGCATGCAGCCATTTAGACTCGTTTTGGCATTAGAGTAATTTTAAATGCAAATCATATACAATTGCCCCCTTAAGTCTTTGTTGTTAACTGTGTTTTATTAATCACTTTTTTGCAGGTTAACACTGGCAACACAACACAATACAATTAAAAATTATAACCCAAACGAGAGGCCTCCCAGTTGCATTCAATGGATCTCAGGTAAGAGACTTGTAGAAATCTCGAGATGTATTTATTCCTGTGAGTTTCTAAGAGATAACTGAATTAAGCCTGTTTTAATATAAAAATAAAGGGGCGATGGGGAAAGAGGAATCTTGTGGCACCTTTAAAACTATCAGACTTATTTTAACCTGATCTTTCTTGGATTATAATTCACTTTCTCAATATGTCTTTAGCCACACATACAGAGTTAAATCTGGTAGTTATAAAAGTGTAATGTCTTTTCTTTCTCTACCCAACCTCCTTTAAATTGTTGCTAACAGATTTTATATTAACAAGATACCCAAGGTCGATTATTCTACAAATAGAATTACTGGGCTGAATAATTAGTATTTACAAAAGGTGTGATTTCATGCCGCCAAATTACCGTACTCTGGTTGAGCCTAACTGCTGGACAGATTTATCTGGTGAGTCAAGTTTTCCATTAGTAGGAGGTTCCCATGATTACCGGAACCATAAAAATTAGAATAATGGGGTTATTGTCCTCTTCCCCTTTGGAAAG